GTATAATGCATTGCTGTCCATACGCCTAGCAGAGAAAGTGGGTGTCTTTCGTGCACATATAGGGGACATTATTCATTTATGCGATCAGGTAACTAGAGCCCAGCTCACTTTAACAGAGCTCCAAGTACAATACAAAGCTCCAATGTTAGAGCTCCCAGTCTCAGAGTTGGTCTGTCACTAACACTCAGAGTTGGTCTGTCACTAACACTCAACACTCAGAACTGGACTGTCACTAACACTCAGCACTCATAGTTGGACTGTCACTAACTCTCATAGTTGGACTGTCACTAACACTCAACACTCAGAACTGGACTGTCACTAACACTCAGGGTTGGACTGTCACTAACACTCAGCACTCATAGTTGGACTGTCACTAACTCTCATAGTTGGACTGTCACTAACACTCAGAGCTGGACTGTCACTAACTCTCAGCACTCAGGGTTGGACTGTCACTAACACTCAGCACTCATATTTGGACTGTCACTAACACTCAGAACTGGACTGTCACTAACTCTCATAGTTGGATTGTCACTAACACTCAGAGCTGGACTGTCACTAACTCTCAGGGTTGGACTGTCACTAACACTCATAGTTGGACTGTCACTAACACTCCGGGTTGGACTGTCACTAACACTCATAGTTGGACCGTCACTAACACTCAGAGCTGGACTGTCACTAACTCTCAGCACTCAGGGTTGGACTGTCACTAACACTCAGAGCTGGACTGTCACTAACTCTCAGCACTCAGGGTTGGACTGTCACTAACACTCAGCACTCATAGCTGGACTGTGACTAACACTCAGGGTTTGACTGTCACTAACACTCAGCACTCATAGTTGGACTGTCACTAACACTCAGAACTGGACTGTCACTAACTCTCATAGTTGGACTGTCACTAACTCTCAGGGTTGGACTGTCACTAACACTCATAGATGGACTGTCACTAACACTCCGGGTTGGACTGTCACTAACTCTGATAGTTGGACTGTCACTGACACTCAGAGTTGGTCTGTCACTAACACTCCGGGTTGGACTGTCACTAACTCTCAGGGTTGGACTGTCACTAACACTCAGAGTTGGACTGTCACTAACACTCAGGGTTGGACTGTCACTAACTCTCAGGGTTGGACTGTCACTAACACTCAGGGTTGGACTGTCACTAACACTCACAGCTGGACTGTCACTAACACTCCGGGTTGGACTGTCACTAACACTCAGGGTTGGACTGTCACTAACACTCAGAGCTGGACTGTCACTAACACTCAGGGTTGGACTGTCACTAACACTCATAGTTAGACTGTCACTAACACTCAGGGTTGGACTGTCACTAACACTCATAGTTGGACTGTCACTAACACTCAGGGCTGGACTGTCACTAACACTCAGAGCTGGACTGTCACTAACACTCAGGGTTGGACTGTCACTAACACTCATAGTTAGACTGTCACTAACACTCAGGGTTGGACTGTCACTAACACTCATAGTTGGACTGTCACTAACACTCAGAGCTGGACTGTCACTAACACTCGGGGTTGGCCTGTCACTAACTCTCGGGGTTGGACTGTCACTAACACTCAGAGCTGGACTGTCACTAACACTCAGGGTTGGACTGTCACTAACACTCAGAGCTGGACTGTCACTAACACTCAGGGCTGGACTGTCACTAACACTCGGGGTTGGACTGTCACTAACACTCATAGTTGGACTGTCACTAACACTCAGGGCTGGACTGTCACTAACACTCAGAGCTGGACTGTCACTAACACTCATAGTTGGACTGTCACTAACACTCAGGGTTGGACTGTCACTAACACTCCGGGTTGGACTGTCACTAACACTCAGGGTTGGACTGTCACTAACACTCAGAGCTGGACTGTCACTAACACTCAGGGTTGGACTGTCACTAACTCTCAGGGTTGGACTGTCACTAACACTCAGAGCTGCACTGTCACTAACACTCAGAGTTGGACTGTCACTAACACTCAGGGTTGGACTGTCACTAACACTCAGAGTTGGACTGTCACTAACACTCAGGGTTGGACTGTCACTAACACTCAGAGTTGGACTGTCACTAACACTCAGGGTTGGACTGTCACTAACTCTCAGGGTTGGACTGTCACTAACACTCAGGGTTGGACTGTCACTAACACTCACAGCTGGACTGTCACTAACACTCCGGGTTGGACTGTCACTAACACTCAGGGTTGGACTGTCACTAACACTCACAGCTGGACTGTCACTAACACTCAGGGTTGGACTGTCACTAACTCTCAGGGTTGGACTGTCACTAACACTCAGAGCTGCACTGTCACTAACACTCAGAGTTGGACTGTCACTAACACTCAGGGTTGGACTGTCACTAACTCTCAGGGTTGGACTGTCACTAACACTCAGAGCTGGACTGTCACTAACACTCAGAGTTGGACTGACACTCACTTCAGGGTTGGACTGTCACACTCTCAGGGTTGGACACTCCGGACTAACACTCACAGCTGGACTGTCACCACACTCAGACTTGGACTCACTCGGGTTGGACTGTCACTAACACTCAGGCTGGACTGTCACTACACTCAGAGCTGGACTGTCACTACACTCAGGGCTGGACTGTCACAACCTCAGAGCTGGACTGTCACCAACACTCAGGGTTGGACTGTCACTAACACTCAGGGTTGGACTGTCACTAACACTCAGAGCTGGACTGTCACTAACACTCAGGGCTGGACTGTCACTAACTCTCAGGGCTGGACTGTCACTAACACTCGGGGTTGGACTGTCACTAACACTCAGAGCTGGACTGTCACTAACACTCAGGGTTGGACTGTCACTAACACTCATAGTTGGACTGTCACTAACACTCATAGTTGGACTGTCACTAACACTCAGGGTTGGACTGTCACTAACACTCAGAGCTGGACTGTCACTAACACTCAGGGTTGGACTGTCACTAACACTCATAGTTAGACTGTCACTAACACTCAGGGTTGGACTGTCACTAACACTCATAGTTGGACTGTCACTAACACCCAGGGCTGGACTGTCACTAACACTCAGAGCTGGACTGTCACTAACACTCAGGGTTGGACTGTCACTAACACTCATAGTTAGACTGTCACTAACACTCAGGGTTGGACTGTCACTAACACTCATAGTTGGACTGTCACTAACACTCAGAGCTGGACTGTCACTAACACTCGGGGTTGGCCTGTCACTAACTCTCGGGGTTGGACTGTCACTAACACTCAGAGCTGGACTGTCACTAACACTCAGGGTTGGACTGTCACTAACACTCAGAGCTGGACTGTCACTAACACTCAGGGCTGGACTGTCACTAACACTCGGGGTTGGACTGTCACTAACACTCATAGTTGGACTGTCACTAACACTCAGGGCTGGACTGTCACTAACACTCAGAGCTGGACTGTCACTAACACTCATAGTTGGACTGTCACTAACACTCAGGGTTGGACTGTCACTAACACTCATAGTTGGACTGTCACTAACACTCAGAGCTGGACTGTCACTAACACTCAGAGTTGGACTGTCACTAACACTCAGGGTTGGACTGTCACTAACTCTCAGGGTTGGACTGTCACTAACACTCAGAGTTGGACTGTCACTAACACTGGACTGTCACTAACTCTCAGGGTTGGACTGTCACTAACACTCAGGGTTGGACTGTCACTAACACTCACAGCTGGACTGTCACTAACACTAACACTCCGGGTTGGACTGTCACTAACACTCAGGGCTGGACTGTCACTAACACTCAGAGCTGGACTGTCACTAACACTCAGGGTTGGACTGTCACTAACACTCAGAGCTGGACTGTCACTAACACTCAGGGTTGGACTGTCACTAACACTCAGGGTTGGACTGTCACTAACACTCAACTGTCACTAACACTCAGATGGACTGTCACTAACACTCAGGGTTGGACTGTCACTAACACTCAGAGTTGGACTGTCACTAACACTCAGGGTTGGACTGTCACTAACACTGTCACTAACACTCATAGTTGGACTGTCACTAACACTCAGGGCTGGACTGTCACTAACACTCAGAGCTGGACTGTCACTAACACTCAGGGT